GAAAAACAACCAAAAAGTCTAGAAAGGAAAATACACGAAATTCTAAATTAATTTGCACGTCACTGAGTGGAATAAGTATTTGATCCTCTACAAACCACTGAGAATTCTGGCTCCCACAGACTTGCTGTGAGCCCACGTGGCACACAGATTATGATCAGTCAATCAGTTACAAATACTCTTGATGTCAATTTGTTATGTCTATAACGCAAATCCATTTTTTCCAGTCCACCATGGGCAAGACCAAAGAGATGTCAAAGGATGTCAGGAACAAGATTGGAGACGCTCTCAAGGCTGAGGTGGACAACAAGACCATCAGCAAAAAACACTTGATGAGAAGGTGACCACTGTTGGTGTGATTATTCAGAATTGGAAGAAATAAAAAATGACCATTAATCACCCTCAGTCTGGAGCTCCCTGCAAGATCTTGTTTCATGAGTACGAACTCATCCTTAAGTTTGCCAATGAACAGCTAACTGATTCAGAGAAGGAGTGCTGCAGTCTGACGAAAACTAAATCTAGCTTTCTGACATTGATTCAACCGTCCATGTTTGGAGGAAGGAAAATGCAGAGTATGACCAAGAAACCCCATCATCCCCACAGTCCAAGCATGGAGGTGGAAACATGCTTTGGGGCTGTTTATCTGCACAGAAAGACTCCACTGCATTGCACTGTCATTGGTAGTGTCTTCGGTGGCTCCCCTGAGAGTTTATGACGTCCTGCCCAGTTCACCTGCGGCTTTATCAATGGTGTCTGGTTGCCAGTTCAACACTGGAAGTGTGTGGCTCAGGGAGACAGAAGGAGAATTGTATTTGGCAAATTTAAGTGACAAATGGTGACACTTGATAAACGTTCGCTGAAAAGATTGAGTGACCATAAATGAAAGCAAAGAATACTGCTGATTGACATACTACCTGCTAGTAAATACATTAACGGGTCACCTAGGTAACTGGAGCTATAGTCACTAGCTGGCAGCTTGAAAGCGACACTGCTTTACACGAAAACATTTTCAGAAATACGGGATTTCCAGCTTTCAGTTGTACTGTACTCATCCTCATCCTGTATTCATATACATACGAAAATGTCTGTTCTGCAGGCACAGCATCGACAATGAGAACACGGTTGCCTGGGACGGAGTCGCATTTCCTGCTTGAACTAAGTTCCAGCTTTCCTTTCGTCTTTCCGTCTTTAGCTTCTGTTGTTTTGGCGGAGGGAGTAATGCGAGCGCTTGCTATCGCGTGCGCGTAACTAGGTACATGAGCGGAGGGAGTAGAGATGAGGAGGTAGCGCACGCGAGGCAGAAAACCCGCTTTGGGATTGGCTGAGAGACACTGGTACCCAGCTCAGTGAAGCTCGAGAAATTCGCCTCAAACGACCGGAAGTTCCACCGGAAATCGCATTCTTACATTGTAATGCAACAAACCGTAAGAAAATAATATTTGGGGTAGAATAGGTTTCCACACAAAGTATTACGTCACATTTCATTATATCAGATAAGCTGAGTTCGGAAAATACTGACCAAAAACTTCGCGGTATTCGGTTTTCTAACGGCGTGTTTTGGCCGCATCCTGGGACGTGTGCGCGGTTGCTGCTAGCTTTACTTTGGTCCAGAGAAAGAGTGAAGGATGTGACTGAAGCCTCTTTCGCGTGCCTCATCGGCCCTGACTCACTACGCCGTTTGTGTACACTCCTACTGCACTTTGCCTACGAAATGGAGCTCGATGGAAATTAGCAAGCGTGTACCTCTTCGAATTCCCACCCTTACCTTTGGAGAATGATCCACCGGCAGGTTATTTTATCCCAGGTAGGTCGCCTCCATTGTTGCCTTAACGTTGATGTAGTCTCATACCCTGCCAGTCTCCAGCAGCGGGCCCAGGGCTCGGTAACCCGCATTTATGTCATTCTCTTCCGTGTGGAGGAAACGTTACGCTGAATTGTTTAAACAGTGAGTGATTTATTGTAACAGTACATAACGTCAGCAAAAATATCAAGTACATAGCCGCAGCATTTAGGCAGAGTGCCTTTTCAGAGGCGGTTTACTTTAAAGCCAAACGTGTTTCCCCAGTAGCTTAATTTTCTATTGCTGCAAGGGCGTAACATCCTTTAAAGTTGTTATTTTGTGTAATAAAACATCTAAATTGAGACTGTGTCAGCTGTATTACACGTGCCGAATTGAAGGGTGGCGACTGCTGTATGAAGACATTAAGCCATGTTTCAGTGAAAACCTTGCCCTTCTCTGGTAAGCAGCGCTGCATTAAATTAATTAATTTCTTGAATGATGTTTGGCGTGAATGTATTGGCGCTGAAGATGTCGGGGCCCTACAGCGTCGCACTGAGTTCTTCCTCCTTATTTGTAATGTACCGCGAGCAGGCTATACAAGAGAAAGGCTTACCCCCTCCAGGCTTTGTGCGAGGATTCCCATCCACAAAATCCTCTTAAATACTGGAGCCACACATGATCTGTGTATTTCCTTTTGTTTGCTTCTGTTCTTTGGAGACATGATAATAATAATAATAGAAAAGGTATAGCCATGAAGAGACAGCATTTTTCCAAGTTTGGGGGATGCATATCACCAGTGATGGTGGTTGTCTAGCTGTCAAGCTGCTGAGTAAATTGTGACCCACATAAATCCCTGTAACAATGGGGAAAAGGCAACGTTTACTGGGTATTGCACACTACCATTTGGTTCTTACTATGAACTCAGATCTTCCAGTATCAATAGGGCAAACCTAATTTTTGCTGGGTTTTCTGTTCTGAATGGATGCCACTGATTTGCCACCAGCTATTTTTAACATATTCATAATTATGCACATAGGTATGGTTGGTACCAATCAATGGTGGATATTCTCCCATATATGCAGTATTTTTGTTGTATAATGTCAATGATGTTCATAGTTCCTTTAACTGCATGCAAGTCTGCAGTGGTTGGCTATCACCAGAGGTGAACTCAGGTAGTTTATGATGAATATGAGAACCAGACCCTGATGTTTTCATGTATCACCCTCTCCACTGTAAGTCACACAGGGCTGAATAATGTTTCTACTAGAAAGCCTGAGAGGTTTGAGCACATCTTTGTGACCTGAGCTCTGAAGATAAGCTTTTTATGTTTATCTTTCTGTGGGCATTGCAATAATTAAAATGATAAGCACTGTTTTCTTTGAGTGGTTCACCTTCTTATGCTAAGAAATGTTAATCAAGCAGGCCCAAGTGAAAAGGATTTTTCTAATGCATTGTCAAATTTAAAGCATGATAAAACAGAAAAGCACTTTGCTATTTTAAGAGAAATCCCTGCTTAACCAATCCATTCTTCTGTTTGATTGGGGTCTCTGATTATTGAAAAAAGCATCATCATAATTATTTCTCAGTTATTTAATTTGATTGTTAGTTAACATTAACATTCACCAGGTGGATGTTGAACTACTTGGGGGTAGGGTTAGGTTTCATGCTAACCAAGCGTAGTTTCAGAAACCTAAAATTAATTGCTTTCAGATGAATTCTCTTCCATGCATTTTGGCTTTATAGATCTTCACTTGTGAGATTACATTTGGATACACCAGGTAGATGAAAACTTTGTTGTTTTGTTCCAACAGAACTAAACAATGAGTGAGTTTTGGCTAAGGTGAAACACTCATTTGATTTAAAACGCAAGACAAAATAGTCTCATAGTGAAAATAAAAAAAAATTAAGCACTTTACCCAGATTTTCTTTATTCATAATTAAACGTAACACGCGTTCTGATCCAATCAGCTGAATGTTGAATTATCTTTACATAATTCAGCATCATTGTGGATTGCATATGTAAAAACATATTCGTTACACTGGCAAGAAGAAAGTCAGATTTATCGAGAGAATTCTGTCAAAGCAAATAGAAGTGCAACATTTTCTGTTTGGCTGGAGAGACGCCAAGTCAGGTCAACATGTACAGATGGAGGAGCAAGACAGTTACTGTAGCAAGAGCAGGTTAAACATGTCTTTGTCTGCTCATGCCAACTGTCATGGCAACTCGGATACAATCAAAATAACACCCAACGTGGGAAAATGCTGTCGAGTGGATAACTCCTCAAAGATGATATATAATAATTAAAACTACCATGATGTTCCTGCCACAGCTGGCTGCCTAACATTATTTCCTGACACCTGACAGTTTTTCAGCAGAATAAATGACAACATAAAAATTGATCTAAGCCAACAGGAATACGTAAATAAGCCAAACAACAGTTTAAAAAGAAATGTGAAAATGGAATAATTTAGGATAAGTGCAGCAGCTTCTGCCACTTAGCTGTAATGTAATCATTTCATACTTCAGCCTGTTAAAAGACACTGCTTAAATGTATATGCAAGAAACAGAAGAGGCAGATTTCCAGTAATAAAAGTGTACTTGATAGAAGACTACCACTGCATGAGAAGTGTAGCCTGTAGCTTTTTTCATTCAAGAGGTTTAAAGGACTAAAGGTAGTTTAAAGGTAGGACTTGAGTCCCCAGTTTCTTTTTAATGAGTTTTGCAGAGAAAAGTTATACGCAGTCAGAAGCTCTACAAGCACTTATCATAGTTTGGTGAGTATCAAAGCTCACAATACAAAAAAAACTCAACGTAAGCAACACTTACACTGTTTTCTAGCTGTTTAACCTTTCAAGTGAGAGAAAAAAGTGTGCAAGCTATCATAAAGTGGCCATTTACTGCATGATGACAGCAGCTGCTGCTGCAACCAACTAACTTGATTAATAAAGTGGAAATTGTTTGATCATGGATTATTTCTGTCTCTAATATGTTTGTCCTAGTATTGCAAGCTTTAAACAAAAACAACATCTGCAATTTAAATGTGTGTAGTTGGGGACTGGTAGAGATGGGTGTTTTCAGTTTTGTGTGTGTTTGTTAGCAGTCACTGCTTTGTGTCACTTGGTTTGATTTAGACAGTAGCGACAACTGTGCAACATGTTTATCAAGTTTACTGGGACATTATAAGAAGCAGAGTATGCCATCGGTCTTTATTCCTAATGATGTAGCATAATAGCAGTTTTTTGTTTCAGTCCTTTAACATCACTTTTATAATTTTATCATGGCTAAATTGTGGATATTTTAATATTGAACGATTCAAGTAACGCTGAGATAATTTGATTTTAATGACTTTTCTCATCTAAATAAAATATGGAAGGAATTAATTCTTCTTTATTCCCAAGAAAGTTAATTTGATTTTGTGCATCAAGATGGGCTGTGTTAAGTGTCTACAGAGGGAGGAGTGAGTAAAACGATAAATATCCAAGTGAGTGAGTCAACCCCAGACTCATCCTCTTAAATAACTTGCGCTACTTTACCACTTTTAGCACAACAGACCCAATCTGATGCTCCACACTAGAGTTTTAAAGCCAGTGCTGAAACCAAGGGGAAAAAAGATACTTAATACTAGTGGTGCAACGGATCACAGTTGATCCGTAATCTGAACCGATCCCACTCCACGGTTCGGCACGCACGTGATCCGAAGATTCGATAAAGAAGAAAAAAGTATATGTATGGTGCGCGTGGTGGGTCTGTCAAGCGATAGCTATGGCCAGCGCTAGTGGTCCAAGTGGAGGAGCAGAGGAGTTTGTGGCATTTAAGCAGCCCTTTGCTGCCCAGTCCGACCAGACTAAAGTTATTACAAAAGCTGTTGGGGTGTTTAGCTGCAGACGGGAGGCCGTATTCTGTTGTGCAAAACAATCAGAATCAGAATCAGAATACTTTATTAAAACAAGGGGTTTAAACTATGATTAACGTGCTTGAGCCACGCTATGATATCTCGTTGCGCGTCCGCTTTAGTGGCAAGATCGTACCCAGGCATGTATGAGCAGGAAAAGATTAAAGTTATGGCTGAACTGTCACAGGCATCTTCTGTTGCCCAACTACAAACAGGTGGACCTCCAGGTCAACGGAAAGCTACGTGACCGTGACCGCTCATTATATCACAGCGGAGTGGTAGATATAAAGCCCTGTACTGCCCTATATTGCACCTTAATTTGTTTTTATATAATTGCGTGGAATGAGTCTTGAGTTGAATGTTTTTAACAGGCAAAAAATACTTAAAAAGTAAATGTTAAAAATGTTTCTTTTTTTCTTTTTTGCTGATCCGAAAATTGATCCGATCCGTGACTTAAAACCGTGAGATTTTTGAACCGTTGCACCACTACTTAATACCATTTCCAATGCCACTGGGGAAAACAGAGCAAAAAATTCAGAGCGGTTATTTAAAAAATGGGAAAAGATTAGAATAACACTCGGTAACAGCACCATTTAAGATGTCTGACATAGTGCAAAAAACATGCCAACCACGTTAGCATTTATGAGAGCTCTTTAATTTAGTGTGAAACTGGAGCTTTACTGACCTCTCAAACTCCTTTATGAGGAATGCTTTGGGAGCTTCGTTGTGCTGCTTGACTTTGTAGGGTCATTTGCACAATATAATATAATATTAAATATGTTGTGTCTTGGTCCAACTTTTTAAGCAGCTGCCTAAAGATGTCCTTTTTTACATGTAACTACGTTAGTAAATTCCATTGATTCTTGACTTTTTCTGTCTAATGGAGTGCAGATAGCGAGTGCTCCTGCCACACTTGTTGGAGTCATTTGTTTACATTTATATCGAACATCACCTGCTGTTAGTGTGTCCTCGTCTGTAGCTCAGTTGTGTGTTGTTTCCAGCTTCAATGGGAACAATATCTTGCTAATTAATGCGCTTTATTGGAGGTTTTTGAAGTAGCTGTCTTTTTCGACTCATCGGAGGCTGACATGTGGCTCTTGCTCTCAGATATATCCCGGCTTGTCTTGTTGT